CCAGATAACTTGGCTGTGCGGTCTAACGTCGTGCATGCGCAAAGGCGGCCAAGTTTGGCCGGTTTCACCCCAACTTCCCGCGCAAAATTTCGAAAGAAAACATGGGAAACATTCTTACTCCGCAAAATATACTTAAATAATTAAACAGTTTATAGAAATCAGAAAAAACAAGATATAAGTAATTTCCCCTACCCCTTGAAAATATATTTATACTATTCTTTTCGCTCCTCTTTAGCTCCAGCAAATGAATATGATTCGAATGATGTCGAAGTAGGGAAGTGTGGTTATGCCGTATGTCTCTGCGACTCAGAGCTACTCCGGTGCTTCAAACAGTTTCAGAATGTCCTTAATTTACCAACCTACGTCGGATTGACGACAAGCAATCCAGGATTTTGCCCAATCACAAGTAAAATTTCATCTTGACTTAGGAAACGTGTTTTTAATTGACTAGTGCTGAACGGGAAACTGAACAGATTTTTTGGTCAGAAGTTGAATTCTCGAGATCTCGAATCCCCAAGCCAGATGTTGTTTCATACTACTGCGTATCGCTGAGAATGGTGACGTAAAACGAGTCCTGGTTTGAAGGGAAAAATTGACGTTTCTGATAAAAGAAAACGAACGTGGGTTTGTACTTAGGCTCTCGTAAATGATAAAATCTGGGCACAGTCTGCGTACGGTTTTCAATTTGATATTTATCTATTTGTTCAATTTGATATTTATCATTTCCAACGATTATTCTCAGCACTCGTCACCACTATATAAATTGCATCAACTCATTACATTATATATTTATTATATTTATTATCGAATAACTTTTTTTTTTTTCATATTGTATATACATACATTTTCTCTGTCAATCAATTTTGTCATGAGCCTTTGGCTCGGGAGATCTGGGTAACCATTCCCTGTGTAATTGACTTTAAATAAATTATTACTATTACTATTACTAAATTATTACTATTACTATTTCAAAATCATTTCACATGACTTTAGTTGGCACGAGAAATTTTGCCATGTGAAAGATATGCGAAAAACATAAGCAAAGCATTTGAAAAATTCTATATCTTTCACCACAGCTTTTTTAAAGCTTTATAATTGGTTTTTGATCCTCTCTTGATCTACTTATTATTTCAGCTGGTGGTTTATGTAATACCAAAGCAGATGTTATAATCTTGATCCAAGACAGCCAGTACATTTCCGAAACGACTCGTCCAAGTATACAATGCATAGTGAGAACGCTACTGACTTCACTGAATAGCGATGACACTGACTACAAGTTTGTGTTGGGAAGATACGGTTCAAAGACAAAAATGAGTCGTTGGGGTTCAGCAGCGAGCGCAATCTTCTACTTGAATTACGAATACCTCAAAGGAGGGCTCGGCCCTTTAAACCGCTTAAGACGTGTCCTAAAGAAGAAAGTCCCGAAGAAGTTCAACGAACGTTCAGCCCACAGGAAGCGCACAGATCCAACGAAGGTATAGGAGAGTGTTCAGGACTTCGGGTTAGGTGGGGTAGGGTGAGGGCCACACCAGCGTCATACTGAAATAAGGAACTTGGTAGCAAGTGCTGTTTTTATAATATATCACTTTTTCATACCAGACTTGAATGAAGTAGAGTAATAGGTTCTCGTGCACCCCTTTTGCTACACCCCTAAGGTATCTGATACTTTATACACTTTCAAGGTGGCTCACTTCGAGCTGTGTCGTTGCTGTGGCAACCTTTTAGAGAGTTATGCATATTTATTGAGTGGAGGTATCAATTCATGTAAAAATGAGTTTTGCTCCTGGTTTTGAATATGGCGTGAATCTCCTTAATTTAAAATCACAATGCACCAACACTTACATCTTAAGTTGTTAAGGCGCTTGATAAAATCATCTTTTTTCCCGAGTATAACTTTGAACCATGTGTTGTTTTCCCAACTTGAATCTCCAATGCATTTTCAGATCGTAGTACTCTTCACAGACGGAAACACAGAAGATGGCGATGGGCGTTTGCTGGACACTTTCAACCTCCTAAATGCAGAAAAGGTGCTGAGAGTCGACAACAACATCAACCTTGTGGGTGCACTTATTCCCAATGTGAACAACACTCAGCGAATAGATCAGCTGAAAAGCATTGTGTCCGAGCCGAATGATGCAATCGAAGTAGAATTAACCGAAGCAAACTTGAACAAAATCGCCGATCGCCTCGCTTTTCGCATCAGACGATTATTGGTCTGCCGAGGTAAGAGGTTTTCTTTAATTTTTTAGTGGGTTGTGTTTGAAAAACATTGTTGTCAGGCTGAATTAATTTCCCAAGTATGTAAATATGTTATGAGCTCAATGCCAACTGGATTGGCATTTTCATAATTATCATCACAATCATTATCGTTATCCTTATCATAATTATCATCGTTATCATTATCGTCATCGTTACAATAATCATTAACCTAATTGTTATCGTTATCGTTATTATTTTCGTCATCGTTATCGTTATTGTTATTGTTATTGTTATCATCTTCATCGTCATCACCATCTTCAACATTACTACCACTATCATCATCTTTACCGCTATCATTATCATTAATAATAATAATAGAGAATTTGTAGTGCGCAAATTCCATGTGGATATCATTATCGCTATTGTAATCGTTATCATCATCCTTATCCTTATCATTATCATTATCATTGTCATTATCATTATCGTTATCGTTGTCGTTGTCGTTGTCGTTATCATTATCATCATCATCATTATTATCATTATTATTATCATTATTATTATCATTATCACTATGATTATCATTATCATTGTCATCGTCATCGTCATCATCATTTTTATTGTCACTGTAATCATTGTCACTGTAATCAATTGTCACTGTAATCATCATAATCATCATCACTATCCCTGTCACTATCTCAATACAAGACATTATAAACTGTTAATATTCTCCTGCTCATTATCATTATCATTATCATTGTTTTATTACACGACTCGGGCAGTCAGAGGGCCAATAACTAAAATCAACCAATCAAAATGCTCTATTGCCGGTCAATATTCTCTCAGTATTGGACCTGGCACTGTCCCGAATGGTCCCGAGTGATACCGCACTTGTGTCCCTTTGAACTTCAGTCGTATAATTAATCTCTTATTAACCAAGCTTGCTCGGGACCGTACTGGAAGAATATCGGCCCTCGGTCTTTTTTGTACGGACCGAGCGCAGCGAGGTCCGTATTGTCAAGACCTCAGGCCGATACTCTCCCAGTACGGCCCTCGCGCTTGGTCAATAAGATATATATATTGACATTATCACAATCGTTATCATCTTTATTGTCTGTCCTTTTTATGATTGTCGTCATTATCACTTCAGTTTTCTTTATTATTTGTCTTACCATAGTAATTTTTTTTTACATCGAAGTTCCCTACACGGTGGTTGTTTTTACCCCTGATACAAGTATCATTACGTCAGAGTTTCGTTTGTTCACCATGCTCATCGGAACCGATGGAAAAATGACCGAAGAACAGTTATTAACTGCACCAGAGACAACGCAAGGGTAGGATATCAACCCTTTCACTCCAAAGATCACCTTGTCCACTTTCCTTCCTACCGCCTTTCATCTCCGTTAATGAACAAAACAAATAACAAAAAGTTACACCCACTTTTCACGCTTTCAGAGTATCACTCAATTACGAGTTCAGCGATATTGATGTCGGAGAAATTACAGAGGTTAGAATCAGATCTGACAGACGAATCCAAGGTCAGGCAGGCTGGGAACTCAGAAAGGTACAGCAGATGCAACAGGGAGGGATCATCATTTACGCTCTTTACATTTTAAATTCAGTTACTTAGCGCTTTTTTTACTCTCCAAAAGTGGTTTTGTTTTGGTTTTTAGGTTGTGGTTACACAAGGTGACCGAACTGTAACTGCAGTATTCAACGAGAACATAGCAGCCTTTGATGCCAGTTGGAAATTTGGTACGTTGGAGAAAATACTTAAGAAATCGTATTTTATCATCCATTTGAAAGTTCTTTGAACTCCTTTTTTCCGCTCGTCTCCATGGACCAATAACCTGACACAAGTTCATGGAAAGAAACTGATGTTATGGTGTATTTTTCAGCCACACCAAGTGAGCCTGAGGAAATGAGCGATGCATAAAGTTATTCGTGCAGAAGGAGGAGAACAACCAATGGAAGTACAAAAAGAAAAAAAATACAGGATTAATATTGTTGTGTATGATATACCTACAAAAATTCCAAATAGATCATGAATATGAATAAATAATCAATAAAGTCAATAAGTGTTTCAATCGTTATTTCCTGGTCCTATGAACATGCTTTTTTTATTGATATTGCTACTTGCCTTTGTACCTATGACCTTTGCCTCTCCCCTCCCCCCCTTCTCTTTCCGTAGTCCTGAGAGGCTAGAAGAACTGTTTTCTATTGGAGGTTTATTACTGTCAGGTCGAGCGTTACAAATCTGGTTCGCGCAAATTGATTGGACGGTTTGGCCGTGACGTTCTGGTGTATAGCCAATTATGATTGGTAAGTTTCGATTCATCGATATGTTAGGTCGTTCTGTTCTGTTCAGTTCGTTTGTTGTGTAAATGTCATGAATAAGTCGTTTCTACTGTGTCGGCATGTTGGTTACAGCTGTTGAGCCAATGTTTCATCAACATATTCTTAACATTTTGGTCAATTTTAACCAATTTTAAAGAGTGTAAACCATTCTTATCTTCCCTTCGAATAATGTCACGCAATCTCTGAGACCTCAGATTTGTTGTCACTAGTTTCCAGTTATTAGTTGCGTGTATGATTGCCGTAAGCTGTCTCAAGATATAATAAAAAGAGAAAACTTAAAAGCTTAAACATAAATCGTTCTAGCGAATTCGAAATTTTTCGTTTGTATGTCGTGACCTCAATATTCGATAACCTTCGCTCTTTGCACTTAATCGTTTGATTGGTCACGGGAAATATTTCCATGGTATGGAAGCAACAATAAATCACGTGACAAAACCAGGCTCGGTGAAGATTATGGTGAGGGAGGGCTTGAAATGGCTGAGTTGATGCCGTCTGACCGATCTACGCTGTACATCTGAAGGGAAGAATATCTGTTTTCGTTTTACAATCTAAGGTATGGATTGAAGGCTTAATACTAGTATTTGTCTGAAAGGTGTCAAACTTGAAGCCTCTTTGATGGCTTGAACACAAAAAAATGGCCTCGTTCGCAGTGGAATTTGAGTCGAGCAGCGCGAAGAATTCTTACGAACTAAGAGACCGACTGTTTCTTTGAATAGGTGCATCATTTCCCACTGCTGTTTGATTTTGAAAGAGCTATTATATTTTTGAATAAGTGCACCAGGCTTTAAAGAATCAACGCTGTTATGATAATATTTTGTACCTGCACAGCGAGGCATTATCACAACGTAATCTCCAATCTTAACGGATTAAACGCCGCATCGAAAGAAAAATTGCTCGTTTGGGAATTCTTGTCTTTTGTTCGATTTGACGGCGAATTTTGTCTCACGGCTTTAAAAGAAATGCAGGTTTTTTTCTTTAGGTAAAATGTAAACATTTTCAATACTGTTGACCGGAAATCGGTCTGTGAAGCAGCTTTCTGCGTTGAACAGAACTAGTGTACACTGTACTCTGACTATAAAGGTTTTTTTTTTTAATTCCTTTTTTTTTTCCGTTTTGGAATGTTCGAAGGCTATAAATTTTGTAGGGCGTAGCTTAAGCTGTATATGTTTTTGTAGAAGTGTCTTGAATCTCTTCAAACCGACAACTTAAATAATACGCTAAATGTTGAAGGGACAGATCAAAGGCGCGCATCTGTTTCCATTTTCCATGTCTTCACGTTGTTGTAGTAACAAGTTTCTTGTTTGCAACGTTATTTTATTGCTTCTAGCTTTTGTTAAAACTGATATTTGTGGTTAACTGAGGCGAAAGTGGCCCTACCCGAGTCAACGCCTTTTGGATGTTTGGAATTGCGACGAGAAATTACAACTGAATATCATGGTTGATCGATCTGCGATTAAATCTGATCAAGATCAGGGACATGACTGTAGCTTCCATGAACGTTATTCATTAAATGCCACACGATTCATTCCGATAGCTTGGAGTTATGTATGACTTTATCCGAAAAAAGAAATTAATTAAAACCTTATCACGTTTGCGAAACCATAATTAATTTATAAGAATTATTTGAAAGATGTACCAAGCTTTGCCCAGATGTTTACACAAAAAACTTTTCGCTCCTACCTTTGGTTTTTGCGCAAAAATGCTTTTAGATTTAATCAATGCAGAGGGTTTTTTTTCAAAATAGTATTGTACATTTTTGAGTTAAGCAGATTAAATTAATTTCTGTAAATGGACAGAGGAAATATAAGTTTCATTTGAATTCATGCTGAAGGGCAAATATTAGTATTGGATAAGAAATAATTCTGAGTAGCACAAACAGGGATGTCTTTTCCAGTTATTCATCTTTAAGAAGTACGACAAATTTCTGCTTTGTTAGTGAAGTCAAGACGAAGAAGACTAAACAAAGTCAAGAGTCCTCCATACATTTTAACCCCAAAACAAAACAATTGTGAGTGCAGTCATGTTTACAAAGGTGGTTCTTTTTGATGTGCTCAAAATGACTTTTTTTTTGCCGTTTAGGAAAATGATGGAAGCAACTACTTCACCCATCTTGGCTGGCAGGTTAGTGAACTTGTGTACATTATTTTGTGGTAAAAACTGAAAATCATGTCTTATATTCTGCCTGAGGATACAATCCAATTACAACTTCCTAAAATAACCTTATTAAAGATTTCTTTAGCAGAAGATGATTCTTGCATGGGTAATTCCTTTATTGATCATTACTGAAGCTGACACAGAATTGTCACGTACCAATTATTAGCCTTGAATTGGACTGGCTCATTGGACATTTATCTTTTGAAATCCATTTGACTTAAATGTGCAACAATGAAGTTTGATAGACAAAGAAATCAATGTAGCTTATTTCACAAGGAGAGAACTGTAGCATTTGAAGTGCTAAACTTGAATCAATGAATTAATGTAGCAGATGCAATACTTTTTAAAAAAATGAATTTACTAGCTTGATGACCTTTTTTTCTCTCGAATTCTTGTTCTTTGCTATTTGGGTGTATTGGTCAGCTCTTTTGTGGCATCTACACCCCTTTCCACTCTGTAGCTTCTAATGATTACTTCTGTGTTTAGTTACAAAGAGAGATGAGTAATTAATTTTGAGTAGTTATTAAATGAATAAGTCTGTACTCACACTAGCTATATTTGATCTCAGTTTTAAAAGAATAAAGCAGCCACAATTGGTACTTCTTCCTATTAATTAACCCAATTTGTCAGTTTTTTTCCATCAATTTACCAGTTTTTACGATATTCTTGACAAGAGAGCAGTTGATATTATGCAGGTCTTGCTCAGCTGGAGAACACGACACAATAACTTTTACCAGGGTCCATACTTGTACCTTCAGATTGGGAGTCTACTTTTATTAGTCTTATATTTCCGAAATAAATGTTTACAAATGTTTTGGAGAGAGTGTAACCTACATTGTGCAAGCACTTTTGTGCTTAGTTTTCATTCTGCTTCATTCTAGAATTCAGTCAGTGCTTTTTAGGAGGTAGTCCTTTGCATATTGTTCCTCAGGTTAAAATATATGGCTTATACATATTGTACTTCTGATTACAGTGTGTGGAAGATACACTCTGATCTACTCTGTAGACATTTAACTCATGGTTTACATGATTATATCTTTCACAAGTCCCAGGTGAACTTTTTTACTGAGTGTTATTGATGACATTGAAACTAGAATTCTGACTGAAATGTGATACAATTCAATATCTACCGGTAACTTACTCAAGGAGCAAAATGCTAGCTAAATGAGAGGGTGGTCAAGAAAAAAAATTAGATAAGAGCCACTAATTGGTTAATATCAAACAGCTTTATCCCATGTCAACCTTACATACTTGAATTAATTAATTTTATGCAGCATCTTAAATGAATCCATACCCAAAGATGAAGCTGATCAGCTCCTTCAAGACCTGTTTCATGAGATGAGTAAGTAACATTTGTTACTTGTGTAAGTAAGTGTTCTTTGTACTTTCATTCCTTAGTGTGATCAGAATAGGAATTTCTCTAACACTTTCAAGGTGAGGAGAAAAAAGATAGATATCAACTGAAGGATGTTTTTCAATTGAACAACAAATTCTCAGAATTAACTTTGAAGTGTATGTATTTGGCGGACAGTATGGAGAATCAACAGATGAACTACATTATAAGGGAATAAAGGCTGATAGTTTCTAAAGAAACTGTTTGGGGCTGCATCGGTGGGGGTAACGAAATAATTTGAATATAATTATTAACAAAGTTGGTAAAGTGGCCACTGTTATGGTTATAAAAGCTGATGTTTCGAGCATTAGCCCTTTGTCATTCGCTCCGACGAAGGGCTAACGCTCGAAACGTCAGCTTTTATAATCGTAACGGTGGCCAATTTACCATTTCAACTTTCTTGATATATTTACATTATAAGGGGTTTTGTTGTTTTAACCATACACTTTAGTTGCATTATCTCATCTATTTGCTGTAACCTTTGTTACTGCCAAATATAAAGAGTGTTTTTTTTTTCAATATGTTCATCATCCTGTGGTGAGATATATATGTGTTGCAGTAATTTGCTGATGTGCGTTTTTCCTCTTCTTTCTTTGTGACCTTTGTAGATGAGGAGAGTTTTGATGAAATAAGATTTGCAGCTTACAGGACAGCAGCAAAACTGCTCTTTATTCAAAACAAAACCAACTGTGAGTACATTATGTCGGGTGTATGATACTTTTACCATGTGACCTCTTACTCATTTTATATGTAGATAATCCACTGCAGATCACCCCTTAAAGACCTGATATGAGGTACTGTTCTGAAATTACAGTGTATACCTTCCTTCTTCCCCAAAGGCTTGCATAGCTTGATGACCAGATTTGTAGAGCAGAGTAAATCAAGCTTAGTTATCTTTGTTATCTTCTAATTTTTTTGTCCTAACTACAAATGTGTTAAGTTCTTTATCAGAGAACCACTTCTGTAGTAATGAAATTGTATAGCTCAGACCTAGATGTATTTCTGTAGAAACTGTTGTTCTGATACTGTATATCTCCAAATTCTGACTCTTGGGCCTGGCTGTTTGAAAGGGAGTTGGCAATTAAAACCATGATTTAAAATTGAACTTGTCATTGATTCCTTGTGGAATAAATGCATATTAAGGTCACATTTGAGTTATTAATCATCAGTGTAAGACTAGAATAAAGAAAAAATGTAAGCAATTAAAATTGTCTGCAAAGCTTCTACGCTAAAGAAAATGTTGTTGGCTAACCCTTGGTTGTCTTGATCATGCTTCGATCCATGGGGCCCTGAAATGCGTGACAGTAAACTTGGTAATCATCGCAGTAAAGAGATTGACAAGAAAACTACCACTTTTGGAGTGCTTTTCTCAGAGGTGATCTCTCTAAGAGTTTCTTTAGACCTCCCTTGATATTGTTCAAAGAATTTATGATTTCAGGATTTTTCAGTTCTTTTGATTCATGGACTTCAAACTAAATTGTTTTAGAGAGGTGATCCTGATTGTTCCAGTACAAATCACCTTAAACCTTTTAGCCTTTTAGCCCCAAAGAGTGACTAGCATCTAATTTCTGGTTCCTGTGTCACCTCTAAGTCAAACATTAAGGTCACAAGAATAAATAAAATGATCAACCAAAGAAGCTCTAGATTGTTAAGTAAATTCTCCTTGTCAGTACCACAGGAAATGTATAGAGAACAGTATGGAGAATATGCATACTGATGTTAGAGTGTACACGTAAAGGGTTATTTAATACTGTTTCAGCTAATTAATAGTTTATTTTTCTTAGGCACAGTGCACTTGGTTGATGTGTTTAACATGATTGAAGCATTTCGAGAAAATGGTCTGAATACCCTAGACCACAATACAGAGCTCCATGAAACAAGGCTGGAAGCAATTGTATCAAGTATTTTCTATGCTCTGAACAAACGGCTTCCTACAACTAACTACATTGACGTAGAGCGATCTATAAGTTTGGTCACCAACTGGCTTCTTTACGCTTATGACAGGTAAAGTTGGGTGTTAAATAGATTTGAAGAACATTATGCCATTTGAACCCATTTACAGTATTCTCAGCAATGCTTTGGGATAACACTTTTTGAATACAGTACTGTGCAGATTTTTGAAAACAGGGCAGGGGGAGGGGAAATTGACAAACATTTGGTTATGTTGTTTGATGCAGTTGAAGTTTCCCAACAGAAAAATTTTTGATATAAGGGAATTCTTTTTAATAGTCATTAACTGTCTTCTCTGCATTTTCAAGTTGAAGGAAGACAATGTGATGGCAGGTCTTATCATCTCTGCCGAAAATGGACCCTTTTTACCAGGCTGATAGTTTCTAAAGAAACTGTTTGGGGCTGAGTCAGTGGGGGTAACGAAATAATTTGAATATATCAACAAAGTTGAAATCATGGTAAATTGGCCACTGTTAGGATTATAAAAGCTGACGTTTCGAGCTTTAGCCCTTCGTCGGAGTGTTAGCCCTTCATTGGAGCGTTAGCCCTTCGCGCTGACGAAGGGCTAACGCTTGGAATGTCAGCTTTTATAATTGTAATGGTGGCCAATTTACCATTTCAACTTTGTTGATATATTCAAATTATTCCTTTTTTTTTGTCAGCTTTCTCTTGATTCAGGTGCCTGTGTTTGTGTAGACCTGCTCCTTGTCCCATCTTCACTTTTCTCTTCTGGGTTTTTTTACCACAACATAAAAAATAATTAGATACTTGTAACTTGTGTGAGGCAGGCACAGTTCTATGTTTTTAAGCCCTGTGGGTGACTTGTTTGCTGACCAGATCTACATTTTGGAAATTGTTATTTGTTTGAATGGGAAATAATAAACAATTTCATAGATATATGTTTTTATTATGAATGGCAGGAATTTGACGAGCATATTGCTCTTTTTTTGTTTTCAGTGATGCCATAGGTAGAATCAGAGTGCTGTCAGTGAAAACTGCTCTGTCCACACTCTGTGCTGGGCGTCTTGTAGATAAATTGAGATGTAAGAACTTTTTTTATTCATAGTAATGTTTTCAATGTATTCAAAGCTAAGACTACTCTAATTATACCTGCCAAAAATATCTCTAATTACCATGTTTATTTCATGAATTACTGTAAGGCACATGTAGATCATTTATTTACAATCTTTTGTTCTGCATTGAGAGATCTTTTGGCAAATGTATCCTTTCCTTTTTCTTATTTTTCATTTTTTTTTTTCAGATCATTTTTCACAAGTAGAGGATGATAATGGTTATTTGAACTTCCCCAAGTTTGAAGCTTACTTGAGAGAATTATTGCAGGTTTGTAGGGACATTCTTAAGGGTAACCAGCTGTGAGCTAGAATTCCACTGTGGGGGAGTATAGCTTTTGTAGGCTGTCAGTACTGCTTTAGGACTGGCAGCAAAGCCTGCAAGATTGGAGCCAGCTAGAGAAACAAGTGTCACAGAGGTCTCTGAGAGGACTGGCACAAAACACTTTCCTGCTCAAAAGGGGTGGCTTTTGCCTCTTCTGTATCATGGCCAGTGAGAACCACTTCCTGGTTAGCTCAATTGGTTAGAGCGCTGGATTGTGTTGTGCGGGAGGTAGAGGGTTCGAGCCCCGGCTGGACCAATACTCATGGTCTTAAAATAAGTGAGGAGAATTTGCTACCTTTCTATAATAAATGGTTAGATATTCTAGCCTTCTTGGATAAGGATGAATAAACTGTAAGCCGCGTCTCCTGCAGTGGGTTAGGGGTAGGAGACATTAATTTCCCATGCACGAGCTTACTGTGTAGTGGATGTCCTCTCCTGGGGTGGGATGGCTGGGAATTAGCCCTGAAAAGCCCCCATGGGGAGTGGTCAACCAACGTATGTATGTATGTATGTATGTAACTTGCTTGCGGGCAATAGTCTTACATGTAGTCACACAATGCAACAGAAACTGAAGTTGAGTTCTGGAAGCATGAGCCACTTGGATCTTGTACAGGTTGACCCCTCTAAAAGAAATTATCAAATGATGCATTTAATTCATTTTTAATGACAGTATGGTAAAAGGATGATGTATGTTCTCTCTTCTTGTAGCTCCCTGCAGCAGTTGGAGAGGCACCCACATTTGGTTTCTCTGAAGAGATTGCAGTCAGGTTTTTCAGTCCTGAAGGGGTATGAATACCGATTGTCACTTTTTTTTGTCTGCTTATTGTGTGATGGGATGGATTAAATCTGTTTTTTGGGGGTAAAATCTAATGAAAACAGGTACTCTGTGCATACAGCTGTAGGTACACCCCAAATTAAAGATACAATGTGGAGCTATGCATCTGTGTTGAGCAGAGCAAACAGGGACTTCTCTGTCCCAATGATTTTTAAGCTCCTGTGCCTCAGGGGTGCTACACTCAGGCTTTTATCATTGCTTCAACGTGTACGGAAGGGAATGAGTACACACAATGTTCTCTTAATTGATCAACTACTCATCAAGTAGATTAAGGCTGGTTCTAGTCACCAACACAACAGTTTTACCTTCATGGAATAGTCCCTTTTTGCAGTTCCCTGGTGAAGGGTAACATGAATTTACAGAAAACCTGTCACAGCTATGATATAAACAGCATACCATAAATTTCACAAAAGTATTACAAACTTAATTTAACTTAATATTTATTTAATTTTTTCCCTTAAGTTGTAACTAAAATATTTGTATCACCATAGTCTACAAAGATTTAACCCACAAGTTATTGCATAGTGCTTGGTGTGTTCAACTGTTTGTGTATGCTTTTGACATATGTGTACCTCAATACGCACAAGGACTGTAAGACGGTTTCACACCCCGAACTGATTGGGTGTTTTTTTTCCCCTCTTGTTTTAGCCCTTGAAAAGAAATGAAACAGTTCTTCTCAATTTTCTTGAGTGTGTCATGGGCACTGACGCTCCTCTTTGCTATGTATGGCTAGGAACCATGCAGAAAATGGCCAATGCTGCAAGATGTAAGTTTATGCTTCATACAAATAATTAAACAGGGAAAGCCTCTAGAACTGTGGAACTGTGTTGGTGGGGCTACAAAAATATAATTGAAATTTTTATTTTTATCAACAGTTGGTAATGCAAATTGGCCACCATGGCCACCACTTTTTAGCTGATGTTTTTAGCACCAGCCCTTCGTCATTCACACTCTTTGATTATTGCATGCACATACCTGGCTTTTGTGTTTTTTGTACTCTTTCTTGTCAATGCTATTTGGGACATAGAAGGGTTCGTCACCCACAAGACATGTGGACAAGTTAAATTGGGGAAAGTCTGCAAAGAGGGAAATTTAAGGCGTGGTTTGGGTGAAGGAAAGAGGTACAGGGGAGAATGAGAGAGGTTAGAATGAGGGTAAGGAAGAGGTAGGGATTAAGGAGAGTTAGGGAGATACAGTTAAGAAGAGAGGGAAGAAGAACATGCAAGGGACACTGACAAAGAATGGCAGAGAGAGAGTCAAGGAGGGTGAGAGAGTGTGAGGAAGATAGGAGGAAGTAGCGAGGGAGATAAGAAGAATGGCAGCGAGATAGGATGAGGAGATAAGATGATGTGTTAAGGAGAGGGAGGAGAGAGTAGTATTGAACAATGATTTTCATTTAAAAGCACACACAACCCACAATTCCTCTATTCGCTCCGACGAAGGGCTAATGCTCGAAACGTCAGCTTTTGTAATCGTTACGGTGGCCAATTTACCATTTCAACTTTGTTGATATAATTTATCCAAATTATTTCATTACCCCCACTGATGCAGCCCCAAACAGTTTCTTTAGAAACTATCAGCCTTTATTCATTTTTTTAAAGAAGTTTTGCTGCACAGATTGAATGTAATACATTTTTTCCCCTAAGGTGAACATCAAATTCCTTGTCAAATTTGCAAGACAAAGCCTATTGTTGGCTTCAGGTAGATAAATGTAATGTTTTCAGTAAATGTGTAGGTGTTAAGAAGTTATCTGTTAAAATTATGAAATAAAAATGAAGCTTGCCTTCATGTGAGATAGTTTTGGACTATAATAGTTTTGCTTTTACTTGAGGAGGCGCAGTTGTCTTTGTGGTGTCTCATGCTGAACTCTGGTGTGGAGGATCTAGGTTCTAGAGCTGGCTGAGTTGTGTTCTTTTAGAGAACTTTTCATGATCATACTGTGTGTTTGGGAAAGGGGGGTGGGGTGGGGTAGGGGAGTAAAGTGTTATGATATTGCATCCAATTCCAGAGTAGTACATGTAACTATACTTGTCATCACTTATTGTCTCTGAATTCTGGGCATTCCCTTGCGTGTGGAAGCTATGCTTGCTGACAGACTTTTTTCCCTCTGAGTAGACAGAACTTCAAGCCATAAGCTATATCCTGGCAGTTTTCTTGCACTGAACTCTACTTACTACAAAATAAGTGTACTCTTCATCATTCTCACGGCAACAGAAAGTAGAATGATAATGGCTTCATGCATCATGTTTCAATAGCATAAGCTGACTTTGACCCAAACAAATACGCTGTTTCATCCTTAAAAGAATCTTTTACTTGTGATAATACTTGCTCCTGGCTTACTGAGAATTTAAAATTTTCTTTAAACAAAGACAGCTTACTGGTATTTTCAAGATGTTGCCACCTACACTAGTGTGAAACCAGTTTCTTGGTTCCTTACCCTTCACTCCAATAATTGAAGTGGCTAGATGTTCACATACCTTGTATTATTTAACGATCAGAAAGATATCATCTAAAGCTGTGACTAGTTTTTGTTTAGGTGTGTAGAATTTTTATTAAGTGTTTCCTCTCTTGTTTAAGGTACAAGTGTCTTCACTGTTACAATTATGTTCTCTGTCAGGTACACTCTTTGTTTCAATTTTTCTCTCACAGATGTGAATTTACATCTGGGTCTGTTTCTGTGGTTAACAAGTTCTTTTATGTCTCAAAATGGTATTGAATCATCTTGGAAAGAAGATTTTACTTTGGTAAGACGAAAAGTAACTGGCTCTTTGTTTGGCATTACAGGACTGCTTCTGGAGAGGAAAGTCTTCACAGGGCCATAAACAGGATCATGATGTGCGAGAGTACTCCACTTGGGTAACATGAATTATAAGTTTTTTTTTCTCCATAGTTTGAGTTTTAATGGGAGTGTTTTATAATTTCATGACCATATTTTAGCGATTAGGTGTTGAATAGCATTTTCACTGTAATTAACCCTTTCACTCCCGTGATCTCATTTGTGATTTTCCTGACTGACTGCCTTAAAATTCTCATGTTAGTGTAGAGAATTTGCTATTAGATCAAACAATAATCCCCTGATTGATATTCTTCTTTATTCTCACCACTTGTCTGCTTGATCTTGTATTGATATTGTTAGGAGAAATTCTGTCTTGGTCACTCATGAGAGTTCAGGTTTTCAAATAAATTCTGCACAGAACTCAGCAAAGTACATGCTCCTGCAAGGAAATCCTTGTCTTGTCTGAGTACACGTAGTTAGAGATTTCCACATGATTGATGGCACGTAACTTACACGCACTGCGTGTGTTTTTATGAACGTTATTGTTTTGTGATTTGCTTGATTTGCGGATCAACGGCTTATCGTGGAAGCCGGGTAATTCCCACCTGACGTTGCCGTTTGCGCGAGTGTTATGAAACTCGTGTGTCTTAGCTTAGCTCCTTGAAAAGCCGAGAGCAATTTGTGTAGAATTTGGTGATAGAAGAACGAGCATGCATGTGCACTTTTCGTATGCAATAATGACTGCAAAAGAAGGTATTGATTCTTACCGATCGCTGCCGGTTGAAAAGGTCCTCTGCCAAAATCAAAACATCTCCCCCTCTTCCATAAAAAAGGGAATTTACTCTCTGGGGTAATGTAAAGTGTTTCTAAAACTGCTTTTGATTTACACTGTAATACGTGTAGTTTGTATGAATTCATGTTTCAGAACGCTGGCGAGAGAGGAAATTCCCTTCGTAGTAAATTTCTCTGCGGTGGAGGACGAAAGAAACGACCCTCCCTGCCAGAGTACCCCAGGGAACCAGAGCCTAGCAAGATGCTAGATGTCACGAACATCATGTAAGTATCAACAGTCTCTTGTGACATTATTCGGGCGAATGTGTCAGACCCTGTTTCCCAATGAATCAAGTCGCGGGGTCGAGCCAAATGTCGTAAGAATATCGTAACCTGAGGCTATTGAATTGGTATCAGTGTGAGAAACCTGGTAAAATACAGGGCACAGACTAACCTTAACCTTTTTCTGCCTTAAAAGGGAAGCGAATAAAGGGAGTGAGTTGCTAAAGAAACTGTAGTGCTGCGTCGGTGGGGGTGGGGGCGGGGGTATTAAAAGATAATTTGGTTTGACCAACTGAGATGATAATTTAAATTGGCCACCGTAAAGAGTTTCTAAAGCTCACGTTTCGGCGAGAGCTGAGAGAACAGAGGACATTTTGAAACGTCAGTGTGAACCCGGGAGGTCCAGCGTTACTGTAGGGATAACTATACAAACTGTGTAATAAAATGATTCATATCGGCAGCCAGTTTGAGTTAAGTGTGGGCGGTCGATTGATGAGTTGGAGAACGCTACACGAAGATAGATAACGATAGAAGCAAACGAATTTCACTTCTTCTGTTACTGATAACTTCATCCTTTCCCGGCGGGTAGTCAGGCATTCACGTTTTGTCGAGACTTGAGAACACCAGACATAAACTGTCCATTCGTTTAGTTTTTATCACCTTCACTTAGTGTGGAATTTCAAGATGCCGGAACCCCTGGTTCGCATACCTTCTCGACCACTGGCTGGTATAAAGATTTTGTTTTTATGTTGTCGTAACAATGTAACCGTCAAAGAAATTCGATTGGACCAAGTGAGTAAAAAAGAAGCAGTATTTCTGCACGGTCGGAGGGTATCTGAGACTCTTAGGTGGTTATCAACACGACTTCGATTTAGGGAGGTAATCTTGAATAGCTGATGTTGCGGCAAGCGTTAGCCCCTTGATAATCTTGACAAATCACGATCGTCAGCTGATTATAGACTCAAGAGCAAGGCGATAGCGAGTATTTCTTTTTGACGGAAAATTTTCTTGGAGATTGAAAGGTGTTTGAAAATCTCTAAAGTTTGGACCTTTTGGAAATGAATATTTCGAGTTTCAAATCATGGATCATGGCAATAAGAAGACAAACACTGAAATGGAATTTTTTTCCTTTTAATGTACGCTTTTTATCATAGTATTTGTTTCAAATATTTTTTTTTAATATCTACAAATATTGATCTTTTAATCCTGGAACAACACTTCGGTTCTTTAATCTTGGAACACACGTCATAACCGACCTAGGGAGAAATTACAGAGTGATCGGTTTGCCCGCAGAACGTCCTACAACGCCTTAATATTGCAAAGTGGTGAAATAATCTTTACGTGCTATTTGAGATGCAGCTAATTTGATAATGGACAGATGAGTTCAGTTAATGATAATAACAATGAAAAAAATAGATACGCATATTTTGCGTTGATGATTAATTCATTGACGTAATTGGCCAAACAAAACCCCGCAGTCTTCTGGAAGACACGGCAATATTTTTCTGGTTTTATCTATTTTCATATTATTTTTGTTTATTGCCTTCGTCTGGTAAACTTCGCGTCTTCACGATTGGCCAATTTATTGTAAATATTTTATATCACCGATTGCGATCTGAATTAACAATTTATAAATAATTGATTAACTTGAAATGAAGTTTTTATGCCGACCGTAACATAGCATAGCGAGATAAAAACTTCGATTGTATAAGTTTGTTTTCCACTTAAGTTTAGTCTGAAATGATCTTCGAAACGAGCAGATGGAATCCACACTTGGTTTCTTCACTAGACAACCGGGTTTATGTACCAAGAGAAAAGTTTGATTAAGATGAATTCTCCAAGCAGTAGTTCGAACGGTAGCAGTTCTAGTGGTAGTAGCTCAAGCGAGAGGAGTTCAAACAGTAGTAACAGTGGCGGCAGTAGTGGTAGCAGTGGCAGTAGCAATGGTTCTTTCTCGGAAAAGCGCCTTTTTATAACGTTAAAACCAAACGCTCGTCAGACATGCTACATCTTTACGCGGCCGTTACGAGTTCGCGTCAAAGGCGGAGGAATCACGTAAGTGAACAATAAACCGAAGAGAAGAGTTGTACGTATTCTTTCTTTTCAAAACAACAAATGTTTTTGTTGCTGTTAAAAGATGAAGTGGGTAATTGCCTTCTATTGTCAGCTGTTTGGAAGGACAGACTCTTTTAGTTGTGCCTCTTTGGCGTCGAGAAGTGTTTTGGATGTGTTTTATGCGAAAAGTCAGGTTTATTCTTTCGTGTCGCCTGCGAATGTTTTCGCTTCCGTGAATAAATTTTAGATTGCAGGGGGTTTGTAACTGCTTATCGCAATTCATGTACTTTGTACGCTGTTACTTAACGGTATCGAGGAATTGCGTAAACGAATTATCGTTGCGGAAAGTGATGGATTTCATATTCAGACATTCTATTAATACGACATAGTACATCTTTACACTCACAAACTGGCTACCTAGTTTCTGAAGTTAACTTCAGTCAATTCTTCCTCGTTCTGAAATTCCGTGCGTTTCTTTTCTAGAGACAGCTCTTGGTGCTTCGCTCACATTCTTAAATACGACTCGAAAAGTTTAACAAGTTTTCCAAGTGACTGAACAGAGTTATTTTTATCGACAACCATTTTGCTGGGTTAAAAGTTATGTCCAGAGACTTAAAATTTTGGCTCATCCTCGGTGTAAAAACCTGTGAAGCTCACGAGTGACGTAAAACAAAGACAACGAAACATTATAAACACAAGCGTACAGCAAAACAATACCTCATGAAACAAAGAAAACCTCGTCAGGTTTTTACACCGAGGATGACCCAAAATTTTGGAGATTTATTTACTTTATTTTTCCTCTGCATGTTTATTTTATTTATATTTTTGGAGGGGGAGAACAAGCATGTGATGTGGTTTTTTAAGAATCTATAATGCCGAGCTTCCATTAACTTAGGTTCCTTCTGTTTTACTTTTGCGTTTGCAGACCTCCGTTGCCTTCAGAACTTTCCGGTCCAAATCAATATGTTGATTACGTCGCAAGCTCTACGGCGCCAGAGTCGGTGGATTCCTCAATGGAGTCATCTCAGCCAACCAAAATGGCAGAGGATTTGGACGGAAGGTAAGGGCTGGTTGGCGTATTTTTCTTCCCTTTTAAACCCTTCACGACTAATAGTAACAAGCAAGGAGTGTCTTCTTACATTATCCATACAATTTCAAGCAGACAGGTAAGGAGGATATGGAGAAAAAATATCAACAAGGGGAGCGTATTGCTTGGTTTAACATTAAATTCTCCGAACTCGAATCATAAGCAACTTATCGGAACGGTACAGAGAATTGATATTTTGATAACGAGTGCCTTGTGGTAGGATATCTTAAGGTTTAAATTAAACCACTCTCCGAGTAAAAATAGAAAGGAAAAAAAAAAAAAAAACGAAACCCAGAGATGTCTATCAGGGTAGTCGAGTCTTTGAACTTGTTTGGCACTAAAACCGCGTCGAAACCGTGGTCTCTGATAGTTTCAATATATAATTGCTGAAAAAACTGAGGGAAAAGCCACCATAATTTAATCACATTTTCTACTGCCTACAATTGATCGACCAAATTAATGTCGGCATGTTCTCAAGCACGTGGGTTTTAGTTGACTAAGGGCATGCTTACATACCCTGGTTACTTTTCAACGCACGGGTTGAATTTGAGCAAATGGCCGGTTAAAGGGTTCTTTTGAATTGACTGTGAATAAAAAAGGAAAAACAAAGGGAAAAACAAAAGAATAAAATTGAAACAGCGGACAAGAAAACTTCTTCCCGAGTCGGTTGAGGTGGTATCTAAAGATTATAATTGATCGTCAGAAAAACATCGTAGTAATAAAGAGCACTTGTGAATAATTTCATGCAAATCCCATTAATTAAAGATGGCAGCCATACAATACTCGAGCTTTCTGAGAAAAGAACATTTCCAGCTTAGTGAACTGCAAATCAATAAGTGTCCGGTGCTTTGGCGACGTTCTTTCCTGTCTATTTAGTGAGGAAATTCGTTTCGTCTCTTACAGATGGAAATTAGGATTTGCGGATGTAATTCTGTTAAATTTGGGAAACTAATATTTTCAATCTTAAATATGAGCGGTAAGGAGTCACAGATTTTGATGTGCGCTAAAAAAGGTCAAACAAACAAGATTGGACACCCGCTCAAATAAGCGAATCTATTGAAATGAAATTTTGCATCGAACGAAAAATGGACTGCTTTTAAGTGGTGGAGGGAAAAAGGGAGACACTGAAATTATTTGAGTCATTTTCTCCTGTTTAATTTCAGTGAAATTCCCAAAATTTCTTCATCTTGTATTGTCGTAAAATTTATTAAATATTTCTCTCTGCTGGTCTAGCAAGAGCAACAATTTGACTCTAGTATTCTTGGTTATTTTGTTTTCCTTTCGCAAGGCATGGGAAAAAAGGCTTACAGCACATCTTTCAGATATGATCTAAAATAATTTTCCTGGCTTCATCGCTTCCCCCGTGGCGATAATTGCCATTATCTTTGTGAAGGCGAATCTGACCAATTGAAACGAGCAGTGCATGTATTCTTTAAGTGAGTGAATTTATTTCACAGTCGTTGAAAAACTCATTATGAATATGTAAATTTGTTTTATTAACACCTGATAGCGAGCGATACTAAGTATACCCAAACAGCAAGCTCGGCTACTAAATACGGCGGTGGAAATCGGCAAAGAACGCTCGCAAGAAGTTAACTTCTGCTGTTCAGGATACTCATCGTCAGAAATCGTTTTGTACTATCATGCCTAACGGTAGTTTTATTCCCCAGTATGTTGGGCGTAATTTTTGGTTGTCTGATTCCAGAATGGATGATGAGCACAAGTTGATATCAAGATATGCGGCTAGGTAAGTTAGAAAAATCCGTATTTCAAGACTGGGCTATAAGCTACGTGTGGTTTTACACAAGACCCTTTTTTTCATTCGTACTGCGTAGCAGTTGGGTTAGGCTTGGCATTGGTTTGTGTCTTTGTCTTGGATGCTTGTCGATGAATAACTGTCATATTTTTCTGGTGAAGGTTTGCACGGCAGGACGGCGTATATCGAGTAGGTTGTTTTTTTGGTAATGATATCTCCCTCTTTTCGTGTAGCGTAATTTTATTATGTGCTTTTATATAATCATCATTTTATGAAGGGAAGGCGCCTCCTCTATTCTCGTCTCCGCAATCGTAACACAAAACTAGAATACGGTCTCGCATTTTACATTCTTTGCCTTCTTTTGCATCAAGTTGTATTAGTTTTCGAACCTTGAGCAGAAAATTTTGTGTCCAAGATCTCAAAATGATTAATTATTTTCGTAAAGATTGATGGTATTTCTTAAAAATAATTTAAGGTAACTTCCTTAGTTGACAACCTTTCTTGTCATTTAAATTTCTTCTACAATAGTGCTTTGTATTACGCTCAGTCCGTTTCAGAGAATATTCCCTCACAGTCTCATGGAAAACTCAGGTTTATAGAAATTATGGAATGAATGTTTGGTAGTCTTCCAGAGGAATAAATTATTTTAAGCTTTGTTAGAAAATGTTTTGATAAATGCGAATTTAATTTCTGACGACAAGTGCATTGACTTACCGTGAACACATTCAAAAGTCTTCGTGTGGACGATATCCACTAATTTCTTGGTTAGTTTTGATATATTTCGTCTAAGACTCAAAGAGGAAAGTTTGCGTGTTTCTTGTTGTTTGTGAAGAGGGAAAACGACGCCGTTGACATTGTAACAAATAAGAGTTGTCTATACTAATTTCGCCGCCGCATCTCGTGCGATCAGTCGAGAGTAATTTCGCATTAAGACATTGCTAATGAAAGATATCTTAATTTCTTTGGTGTGATTTTAGCCTACCACAGATTCCATAATTTGAATACGCCTATTCTTCCTAATGACTATGAAAAAAAAAAAAAAAAAAACAGAGAAAAGGAAAATCATTTGTGATCGTGCCTGTAATTAAATCGCAGCTTTACTCATAAGTTTTTGTCGATCTACTCCGTCGAATAAATGAATTAAATGCAGTTGAACTGATTATGTGTTTGTCCTTACAAGAAAAATGAGTAACAATCCGCAAACGATTGGTTAGATTTCGTGGTTTCTATCTTAAATCCCAGATGAATTAGTTTTTAAGAGCGCGACAACATGTGTCTGTCTTGTTTTTGCTTAACCCATGCTGAGAAAGGGAGAAAGTTAAAATAATTTCATTATCGCCATTCTAAGTCTTTCGAATCTTCATCTGGGTACGTAAGAACGAAATTTTTATCTCTATCCAGTACTTCTTGGTCTTTTCGATGTAATGTTGCCTAAAATTTTGATTTTGCTTTTATCTTACGATATATTTCTATCTCTTTTTGTTGCATTGTACTCGTTAATGGACAGACTCGCAGCCAATTCGGTAAGTATCTTGTAATGGTGTTTCTGACTTGTGTTTAATATGAGACATTCACAATCTTCTTGAGATCAAAGAAAGTCTTCGCGTTCCCAGTCATAACACATCCATAAGGATCCTTCTTTTGCAGTGCCCTGATTAACATCGCATTTTAATGAACATAATATCGAAATGAATAACGTTGACTTCAAGAACTGATAAACGTAAGAGCTTTCTCACACAACCAAATAACTCGAATTTGCGCAATCTTTTGGGAGTGTCATTTTCTCAGCGCTGATTGTAAACCAACATGTGTAGCCAGTTGGGAGAATTATCAATGAATGATTTTTTTGACCAGGGTAGCCAATGGTTGGAGTGGACATCATGCCGTGTCCGTTTGGATTTTTATTTAGGCTATAAAAAGAATTTCCGTTCCCCGGGGTATTTTTTATATACACGTGTAGATTACTTAGAGATGACTCAGGCGGCAGGCAATCTGATGACCGCTTTATAATTAGAGTAAGCGTAATGTGTGGGAAGTTATCCCCTTAAGTCTTGCAAACATCAAGTTATGAAATGCGTCGGTATCAAATATGATCTAGACCCAAGATAGTGCAAAGTATTTTCGTGCTAGTATTTGATTGAAATTCTCGATTTATTTCTTTGGTTTTTTATGATGCATCTCAACGTCCGTCTTGATTCCCACGTTACTTGCTTTACTTAGCAACCACGCTGACCAATGGTAAAATATCGACGGCTCTGAAAATTAAGGGGAAAAAAGGCTATTGAGCATTTCATTCAGGTTAACTGTATGTGCTACAGAACTCGTTGTGATCTTCCAGCGCTGGCGTTGTTCTGGCTGTTTTAATTTGACAAAGGAACAATGCACTAATTATTTTTGTTTGGGTTTAGCGACAGAAACCCGCCGCTAAAGTGACCAAGTCTCCAAGTCAATCAAGCATTGACGTCAACAGGGAACAGAGAGAACTCATGCAGACCTTACAAAACAAAAACAGGTAACAATTTAAAAAAAGGGAATGAAGGAAGAGAAACATTTTTAGTATTTGTCATTTGGCGAAAAAATAGGCGAAGACTTCACATTAGCGAGGTGGCCCATAAGGCGCCCCCTCGGGCCCCCCCATAGGATTTCGTCAGGCCTCCGTGACATTTCTCTTGTACATCAACTTTAGATGAAGGCGTTCAATTCATTTGTCTCTGGCACCGGATAAAGTTTGAGTCCCATTTGAGGATGTCAAATTATGACCCTTAAAATGACTGCTCGGTAATAATGCAGAGCATACACTAGCTTTATCTGTTTCACGCTCTAGGGTTTGTTATTTTAAAAGCGTTCTTTGTGGGAAACGAGGAGCTGAGACGGAAAATTTTCACTTAATTCCTGCGACAGACAAAGAGAATAATTTTCTACTCATAATTTGAGCTCCTGAAATAATCTTATATTAAACAGGCTTCTTCTGAAGGAAATTCGACGTTTGCGCGACGAGCATGAAGAAACATCCCGATCAGCGGCTCAAATCGCACAAAATCCCCAGCTATTGGCTGAACTGAAGTTACTAAGGCAACGAAAAGATGAATTAGAATTGCGCATGTCTGCACTGCAAGAGAGCCGCCGAGAACTGATGGTACAGTTAGAAGGATTGATGAACCTGCTCAAAGTAAGTAACCTTATTAATTATGCAGTGTAAGGTTCTTGAAAGTGTATGTTGAAGGCATTTGTTGCACTTTCCAATTTGTTGCACTTTTTTTTCGGGATTGAAAGCACCTTAACAGAACGACGCTTTTCCGCGGAAGCGTCGGTGGGTGAAATTACCTTTGTAAGAAAGCATGGGACTGGGTTCGATTCTCAGGAATAGTGTGAGTTGGACTAAGATGGAAAATGAACCTTAGTAAAGAAAAGGCATCCAGGCCTGATTCAGTTTGGGGAATTTTCAGCGAGATCATAAAAAAAGATAGATTTAATGGTGGGCCTTGCTTAAACAAGAGAGCTTGCCACGGACCAGAAAGAATCCTGCTTTTGCAATTCTCAGAGCTGTGTTCTGAATTACTATCTTCGCGCACATCTCGATGTTTATGCCAAAAAACACACGAAGTTAATAAGACGTCTAATGTCTGAATGCCACTTGTTTTTTTCTCAGGGAGCTGATGTTTAAAAAAAAATTCTTCTTAGTCCCACAATTATTTTTTAGTATCAATAGCATATGCTGCAAGACATTCTTAGGGTGCAAACCTCTCGGTAAATTATTACAAACTGCTTTTTTTGCCTTTTTTTTTTTATTTCGGATGAAGATTCTTGTGCCAATGTTTTCGATGGCGTGAAGCTGGTTATTAGGTTTTGTCACTAGTTTTACGAGCTTGTAGCACATTGAGTGCACCCTTCGTCTTCCTGAAGTATGGTTAGATACTTAATAACTTTATCGTCGCGCTTTTTGCTTTCAAAGTGTAGAGGCCACGCCGTTTGCGAGCCTAAAAGCAGCTCATTATTGTTGACTTGTTAAACTTTGAATTTAGTAGTCCTTTTAGTCCCACAAGTGTGGTGTACTCTACGTCATTGACATACTTGTGTTGCCTTCAGGTATTGCCACGCTCTTTGCGTTTTTTTTTTAATAATTTTGTTACGCTTTCCGCAAACTTCCAGCTTCGCATTCACCTCTCTGTTCGCGTTTTACCTTCGACGCCATTCGTTAGATATTTTACGGCCGCGTACGAGGGATTTTTTTTATTACAGCCGTGAAAAAGGCCATATAATTATCTTCACAGCATCAGGAAAAATGGCATGGGAAAACTTGGCTTGACTTGAAACAGAAAAGACGAACCAAGAGAATGTTGTTGAACCTCGTAAAAGAGTAAATGACGTGAACTTTCGTTCAGAGTGATCGTGCAACTAGAAAGTAAAGAGGATGACATTGCTAAAATGGGGTTTTATTAAAAATCGGTAACGTGGAACTGGGATGATTCATTTTCGACTTAGAGAAGATCTAGGACAGCCTCGATAGGCTCATCATGTTGTATCTTCTTCCGATGGTCATGGCAGGTGATACACTCCCTCCCTTCCCCATACCCTACCCCGGCTATTACCGGGGGGAGTGACAGGCCATATGCTCCCTTGTACGTCTGGAGTAGGGAGAAAGACTGCTGGCGTTATGTTTGGTGAAGAATTAAAACACGATACCCTTTGGAATGTAAGCACTGGGACTTCTTTTTGACAGTGAATCGCAAACAGTGATGAGGTGTGAGAGCAAAGGGTTTTATTGTGCTCTTACAAAGCTAGACTGGTGGAGGAATTTCTCTGGATAAATTTTCAAACTTGAACTTGTAACCGTGGATAAGCTTCTTATGCATTTTATTTTGCGTCCTTGTTGAATAGTGAAAGTTGAACCTGTGTATTGCTCTTTTTGTTTTTGTTTTTGTTTGTTTTTGTTTTTACTGTACTTGTAACGAAGACTGAACAAAGTGGATTAATGGAAAGTGGACATTTATGAGTGGTGTTTATTTTGGTTTTTTCTGAAAAGATAGGGATTTTTTATGCTATGTTCATACGTTTACATGCAGCAGTCTAATTTCTTCAGCCACTAATTTTTGAATTAATTTTGTGCCTGTGAAACCTTTTTTGGCATGTAACTTACGATGCACCGGAAAAAGTGAGGAAAACAAACAAACAAACAAACAAACAAAATAGCAAGACGTGCCCTCAAACAAAAGAAAGAAAATTTCAGAAATTGTGTTCAAGTCTTGGTCGTGTTTTATTAATCCACTTTGTTCTGTCTCTTTGCAGGCAGAAAACATCTGAACTCTGAAGACGAGAGGACGTGATCAGTTTTCATTATTTTGTTGTTTCAAGAAGCTACCTTGGAAGGTCGCTGAATGCATTAATTGGCCCGTGGTCGACTTATAGCTGTGACGATTTTGTCACACAAAAGTTCTTGCGAAAGATTGTATGACGGTTCTTATAGGGAAAGATTTCTTATAACCCTGCTATCCGGACATACCGAAGTCCTTCAGTGTTAAATTTATTTGTGAAAACTGAAGTTTCATGTGAAGCTAAATTTGACAGTTGTTTCTCAAAAATCTTTCCTTATGGGTGGGTGTTTACCTTGAATACGACCAAGCAGGAGCCCATGGATTAAATAAAATCACCCCACCCTACCCCCACTACCTCTAACAATTCTTGTGTCATGTCCATAACTCTTGTACAAGTTCTCTTTTGTGAGTCTGAGAATCAAAACTTTCAATGGTGGTATATGGCGGGCTAGATCAATTTCGTATTTCTTTTAAATTAGTTTTCCAATTTTTTTGTTTTAAATTGTAACTATAGTGAATGAATATATATTTAACAATTATTCGCCGAAGACGAGGTGAATATCGTTGAATAATGCCCCAGACGAAGTCGAGAGGTTTATTCGACAATATTCACCGAACCTGAGGCGAATAATTGTTTTAATGTAATTTCAGAGCTGAACAACGGAGAAATTTCTAAAATCATAACATTTTAGTAACATTCATTAACATTTTATTTTAACATTTTATATAAACCGCGTGGAGCGGTTTATATAGCGTCATATAAGGAACCGCTCGACCAATCAGATTGCTGGAAACTCTTTTACTCAGCTCTGAAATTATACTAAATCTATATATATCTATATATATATATATATATGTATATATATGTATATATATATGTATATATATGTATATATATGTATATATGTATATATATATGTATATACACATATAGATAGGAATTTTTTAAGAATTCTCATGAATTTTTTGTGAACTAGTTGCGCCTCGTCGTCTCTTATTTTTTTGATAACTGCATAATTGTGCGGAGAAAAACTTTTGTGATAACTGCATAATTTTGCGGAGAAAATATTAAGGAATTTCTTGCTTCGAGTTATTAGAATATTCAGCAACAGTATATAAATGATTGTATGTTTAAAGTCATATCACGTGACTATTGCATTTCAGTCACGTGATTCATCGTTAAAAAGTACGTATGTTTAAGTGATAAAAAGTAGATTTTAATTGTAAAAAAGAAAAAAGTCATTTTGAGCAGGCGCTTAAGAGCAATTGTTCGTATTTTTGTTGTTGTTTATTGCTCATGAATTTATCGGAGACATTTTTGAAAAATTGAAATTAAGTTTTATCGTAAATCCGAAGAAATAGGAATTTAGGAAGCATTATGCCATGTCTGTTGTCGCTTTAGTATTAATAGTATTCAGATCAAAGGGTTACGGGTAAATAGATTTTTAACTCGTGTCCACTTCAAGGAAATCTGCTAAATATCGACTTATATGTGGCAAGTATCAAGTTTAAATCGTCTTAACTAGACCAAATTTTGTCCTATGACAACAAGAAAAAAAAAAAGACAAGTTTGTTACTCGTAATGCGTGTACTCGCAAAATATTTAGAACTGTGGCTTAGTATACGCTTTTCAGAACAACCTTAACAAAGGAAAAGGAAGGCCCGTGTCTTAAAGTATCATAAAAGTGAAGTTTAATAACGCTGTGAATTGAATTGGCATTTTGTTTGTGACGAGCGAACTTTTGCTTATTGTTTTTTTGCGGTTAAGTTTTCCTCGAAATAAAAATGGGACACTGTTTTTATCAATGACTTTATTACGTTTAACAGTATTTGCAGATGTAACACTTGCTAGTACAGTATCCCATCATTCGTCGCTCCTATCCTTGGTCTCTCCTTCGACGCAAGAAAACGCGCTTTGTCTTTTTCACGCTTTTCTTCCTTTGTGTTTTTCTTCTTTGACTCAAATTGACTTGCTCTTGCCGATACTATGCAAACAGTTTAATCCACTAACAAGTTTATAATTCTATCTACTTATATAGTCAGAATGTAAAGTTGTGTCTGAAATAATCTGGGCCCAGACGCCCAACGGAAACCAATCGTTACTTGGTTAATCGCATTTTCCCGCGCATCGTTTTCGCGCGCTTCAGGCAGTGTAATTTTGTTTACTTCGAGTTCTCACTGGCCCCTGGTGATATATTCTTTGTTATGATTCCTATGGTTTTGGTTTTACGACACAGTCAAATAGCGCTTTAATTGCCTTACTCTTGCCGATACTCTGCAAACATTTCCATTCACTTACTAGTTCCTAGTTATATCTACTTACAAATGTGAATTATTTATTCTTTATTTCTCAAGAGTCTGACATTAACGGCACTGCTACTGCGACAACTTGACTCACTATCATCTTAAGGCAATGCTTATGCAACCAAAGGTCAGGGTCAACGGACCGTGATTGCGTGACAGTTTGTGATAAGTTGTGACAATGATATTGGTGAAGCCCATGAAAAACGAAGGTTGTAGTTTAGCTATCCGCCTCAGATTAAGATAAGGTCGTAAGTTTCTTTGCCTTAAGAGTCCTTGAAAGCCTCCTCAGTTTTTGGTTAGCTACAGTTATGTGTGGTTTAAATTACTTGCTTGTTTGTGTGGGATGGATTCTCGGGTACAGTATGGCAAATATTGCCTCTGATCATTAAATGAGAACTTGTATTGTTCTACGTTATATTTCGCTCTGCAAAATTGAAAATAACAATGAAGGAATGTGTGTTATTGGAAAATTCCCAACATGAATGATAGGGTAAAGTCTCCTAGTGCTTTTCACTTAAAACAGAAGACACACTATTCTGACCTACAAGTTCAT